GAGGAATGAACACGCTGTATGCCCGCCTATTGGTGCACATCCGATCATCCCGCTGACCCGGGCCCTATCGGCCTGGGACCCTGGCGGGGCAACTTAACCACGCCTGGGCCTACTCTCCCTGTCCACACGTATCTTCTACATCTTTCTCTGCGGGTACAAGGAGATCGCTGAGCCTACCACGTGGCTACGCTGCACGTGAGATGGGCAGGACGGGCGTCGTGATTATCGCTGAGGCCTATGCCGATTTCGCGCAGCAGTGCCTGGAAGCAGTCTACCCCGGCTACAAGATCCACGGCTGGGAGAACGGCCGCGTCCCCCGCGAGATCGATACGGTGCACAAGGTCGCCGAGCGGGTCGGCGGCAGGATGGACATGATGCTCGACCCGTTCAACGCGCTGGTGACGTTCGGCGACGCCGTGAAGGTCGGTCGGGCCTGCGACGGATTCCGGTACTTCGTACTAGGACGCCGTTTCTTTCTTGGACATTGGCAGCGTTCGAAATGTTCTCCCACCGCAATCTGCGGCAAGATCCTCAATACTTCCGCCTTCTGATCAGTCAGCACAAAACGGGGCGTCGAGTCACACGTCGACTTCATGGTCGCCGAGGCCACCGACTTCGTCAGGGGCGACATCGCGGGCGAGGGGATAACGGGCTCGATGAAAATCGCCCACGCCGCCGAGGGGCTGGGCCTCGACATCGAGTTCCACAGCCCCGGGCCGGCCCAGCGCCAGTGCGTCGCCGCCATTCGCAACACCAACGAACTACGCTCTCTCAGCTTCACATCACACCCCAAGGCGCCGAACCAGAACTACGTGCCCGTCTACAAGGAACGAATATACAGGGACAGCTGGACGCCCGCTTGACGGATAACGCCATTTCCCGGTCCCCCAGGGCCCCGGCCTTGGCGTCGAGTACGACTGGGACCTCATCGCCAAATGGCGCACGGGTATTGAGAGGTATGGGTAGGAGCCGGCTAGCTCGGCATCCCATGATGTCTCTTCTGCTAAACTAACGCCACTGGCGGTGGAATCGAGGGTTCGCATGGCGTCCATAGGAGTTCAGCAGGAGGCTCGCTCCCCGGACCAGTTGAATATGTTCGGGCTGGAGGCGCCCGCAACAGATACCGACGAGTTAGGGGTCAATCGCGACGCGGTCCTGGCATGCCAGGACAACCTGGAGTTCATGAGGCAGGCCTCGCGGACGGCTCGATGAAGCTCATAGTCACGTCGCCTCCCTACAACATAGGGAAGCAGTACGAGAAGCGGTCTTCGCTGGAAACCTACCTCTCAGACCAGGAACGGGTAATCGCCGAATGCGTGCGCCTCTTGCATCCCAAAGGTCCTTGTTCTGCAGTGGGAACTACGGTTAGGAATGGGGAGTCCATAACCACTCGACTCGTTGCTCTAGCCCCTGTTTCAATCGAGCAATGGCCTGAAGCTGCGCAACCGCATCGTCTGGCATTTCGAACACGGACTGCACTGCACCAAGCGACTGTCTGGACGCTACGAGACCATCAACTGGTTCACGAGAGACGGCGACTACACCTTCGATGTCGATCCAATACGGGTGCCGTCGAAGTATCCAGGGAAGCGCCACTTCAAGGGTCCCAACGCCGGCAAGCTCTCCGGGAATCCCAAGGGGAAGAACCCAGGAGACGTGTGGGTATTCCCTAACGTGAAGAGCAACCACGTCGAAAAGACCATCCACCCCTGCCAGTTTCCCGTAGAGCTTGTGGAGAGGCTGGTCCTGTCGATGACCGAGCCGGGCGACGCCGTCCTCGATCCCTACATGGGGGTCGGCTCCGCCATCGTTGCGGCCTTGAAGCATGACCGTAGAGGCTACGGCTGTGACATTGTGAGCGAGTACGTCGACATTGCTTGGGAGAGGGTCCGTGCATTTCACTCCGGAACTCTCAGGACTCGCCCGATGGGCAAGCCGGTCTACGACCCGGCAAAGCCCAACGGCGGCCACTGATGCGGATTGCGGCCCAATACTCCCACCTGAACGGTCGGGAGTTCCTTCTCGTTCACCACAAGAATCTCTTGCAAGAGATAGAGGAGATCATTGAGTCCGTCGACGCCGAGTCGTGTCGCACCAAGATGTCCAAAGAGAAGATTAAGTCGGGTCGCTTGCTCTACTCTCCAGTAGACATGAACAAGGCCATGGCCGCGGGCTTTGAGACAAGTGGCTGGGGGCAGCGGAGACAGGAGTTCTGGGTAACCGCTGACGAAAAGATTGTCCGGGGTATTGCCACCCTTCCGGCAGCGAGACAGAAAGAGGCCATTGAAAAAGCAGGGCAGGAACCGATCTACTCGTACAACCAGACGGATTTTGTTAAGGATCGTGTGGCCGTGGAGGTGCAGTTCGGTAAGTACGCCTTTGTTGCTCACGATCTCTTCGTCAAGCATATGGCATTCTTCGTATCCGATGTGATCGACGTCGGCGTCGAGATCCTGCCGATGAAGGAAATGGAGCGGGAAATGTCGTCAGGCGTCCCTTACTACGAGCGAGACCTGCTCAACATAATCCGCCAAGGCCGGGGTATCCCGGCTGTGCCGCTGCTGCTCATCGGCGTGGCGCCGTAACCCGCGGCGGCTGAGCGCCTACGACCTACTGGCCGACGATCTTGATTCGCGGATCCACTATGGCCAGGAGGACGTCGGAAACCAGCGTGCCGATCACCGTGAGCGTGCCCAGCATCAGTATGATAAACCCTGCGGTGTAGGGGTCCTGCAGCTGGATGGCCCTGAGGAGGATGGGGCCGAGCGTCGGCAGGCTGAGGACGACCGAGACAATGATGCTGCCGCTGACCAGTGACGGGAGCAGGTAGCCCGCCGTGCTGACCAGGGGGTTGATGGCGACGCGCACCGGGTACTTCAGGATCAGCTTCCAGGCGGCTGCACCCTTCGCCCGCGCCGTCACCACGTAGGGCTTGCGGAGCTCGTCGAGCAGGTTGTTGCGCATGACCCGGATGAGCCCCGCGGTGCCGGACGTGCCGAGCACGACGGCAGGTATCCAGAGGTGCTTCAGCAGGTCCCACAGCTTCCACAGGTCCCACGGGGCGTTCTGGTAGTCGGCCGAGAAGAGCCCGCCCACGCTCTGGTTGAAGTAGGCGAACCCTATGTACATGAGCACGAGGCCGAGCAGGAAGTCGGGGACAGCTAGGCCCGTGAACCCCGCCAGCGTGAATACGTAGTCGCCGACGGAGTGCTGGCGGACAGCCGAGTATATGCCCACGGGTATGGCGAACGTCCACGTCACCAGGACGGTGAAGCCGGTCAGCGCCACCGTGATCCACAGCCGGTCGCCTATCTGCGCCTTGATCGGCCTGATGCCGTCGGGGCCCGAACGGGGGGTCATGGAGAAGCCGGGGTCGCCCCTGAGCAGGTTCCCAATCCACTTAAAGTACCTGACGTACTGGGGCTGGTCCAGGCCCAGGTAACGCCGCAGGTTCTCGGCGACCTCGGGGCTGTATCCGGTCGATCCCGTGTCCATCAGGTTGTTCATGACGGCGTCGGCGGTGTCGCCCGCGGGCAGCTCGATGATTACGAACGTCAATATCGAAATCACCCAGATGGTGAACAGGGCGAGGATCAGTCTTCTTGCGAGATACGCGGCCATGTGAGATTAGACCCCGCCTGGGCTGGGTGGACTATCTCGACTGCAGGCGGCCCAGCTCCTCGCGGAGCCGCATCACTTCGGCCTCGGCGGCCTCGGCGCGAGCCTCGGCTTCCGCAGGATCAGCAGGTACTCGCCCTTCGCCGGATCGTAGAAGCGAAGACGCCGGTCGTCCCAACACAGGTCCAGGCCCAGCGTCGGGCTGTGGCCCCGGATCACCCCGTCTGACCCCCGCTCCAGTCGAATCGGCTCGTAATTGCCGTCGACCAGCATGTCGCCCGACATCGGCCGGTCGTGGTACTTCCCGCCGGTGTGGTCGAACCGCCAGTACTCGCCACGCCGTAGCCGGCAGTAGCCGTCCCGTTTCCGGGTGTAGTCGGCCTTACCCGTGCTCTCCGACGCGATCTCCACCACGACCTCGGGGGGCTTGCCCACGTCGTCGATGACGTAGCCGTTGCGGCTGCGGACGGCGTCAGGGTCGACTCCGAATGCGACGACGCAATCGGGCACCAGCCAGCCCTCTCGAGTGCGGGTGTTCCAACACAGGTAGCCCTCGCCTCCTACGAGCACGTCGGGGCGATGGCTGAAGTGGCGACGGAGGACGACGCGGATCTCGGACCCGATGGGCTCTTGCTGCAAGTCAGGCGTCCTGATGGGATCGGGCAGCATCCCGTCTACAGGCCGCCCGTCGGCCGCCTCTGGTGTGGTGACGGCTCTCGTGGTCATGGCCGGACTATAACACACCGAGAAGTTCCGCGAGACGGGCTGTCTGTACGATTGGTCTGGCAGGTCGTGATACTATGCTGTATTCCGTAGGAAGAAGCCTAAGAACGCTGGTATTAGGCTTGGAGAGAGGAGAGTCGATCTTGGCAGGTATGGCAGTTGGAACGATCGCGGCGGGTGTGGCGGCGCCGGACTTCGAGCTTCCCTCGCTGGCGGGCGGCTCGGTAAGGCTCTCGGACTACCGGGGCAGAAGGTCGTCCTGTTCATGTGGGCGTCCTGGTGAGGGTGCAGGGAGCAGCTGCCAGGCTGGCAGCGGTTTAGCGACGAGAACAGGGAGCGCGGCGTCGAGGTGCTCTCGGTTGCGATCGACGCCCAGTCGCCGGACAAGCCGCGGTCCTATGTCGAAAAGGCCGGCGCAACGTTCACGACGCTAGTCGACAGGGAGAACATCCTGAGCGATCTGTACGGCTTCAGGGCCGTTCCGAACGGGTTCCTCATCGACGAGCAGGGCATAGTGCAGTTCAGCCGGCTAAGCGGCTTCGACATAGGACGGCGCGAGACGGCCGAGGTCCTCGAGCACTGGTTGTCAGGACAGGACCCGGTGCCCGGTGGGGAAGAGCCGCAGGATGGCCTGGGCGCCGGGCACGCCGAGGCGAACGCAATCTTCCGCGAGGGGCTGGAGCACTACCGAGCCGGCAGGACCGCCCAGGCCCTGGCGCGCTGGCGGCAGGGACTCGAGCTCGACCCGGGCAACTACCTCATCCGCAAGCAGATCTGGGCAGTCGAGAACCCGGACAGTTCTACGACGGCGCCGTCGACTACGACTGGCACTGGTAGCAGACCGCCAAGGGTCTGTAGTCCGTGACGAAATTCCTGTAGCGGAACAGTGAATCCAGGGTGTTTAGGCTCCGCCACCTATAACGCGCCGATCTTCCTGACACTGTCCACCTTGCCCTCGACCCTCGTGCCAAATGGACGCTCAGACGAGCCGATCACGTCACGGCGTTACCATGTAACTCTGCGCAGGAGGGAATCCTGAGTCGACTTCCCCGACGCCGTGGGTGAGGGCGTTTCTCGTGGTGGGCTTCTCCGCTGTGTTGCTCCTGCTGAGCGCGGACGGGGCAGGAGGACAGACCGCCGACGACCACGGCGACAACATCGGCGTAGCGACGCCCCTGCCGCTGGGCCCATCTGTGGAAGGGCGCCTCGATTCCGGTGAAGACCTGGACGTGTTCAGGCTGGACCTGACCGCGGAGTCTTCGGACGCCGACGTTTGGATATATGCGACCGGTGGCCTGGATAACGTTGGGGATCTGCTTACGAGCGACGGCTCGGTAATCGTATCCAATGACGACAGCTTCATCACAGGCAGGTATCGCTCCTTCCACATCAGGTGGGTACTCTCCCCGGGGGTCTACTACATCCGGGTAAGTTCGTACTCCGGTGGGACAGGCGAAAGGCCGACGGGGGATTATGGACTGCACGCCGAGGCGGTAACTCACTACCCCGGAGGCGGCAGCATAGCGACGGCCACCCCCCTGGAGTTCGATTCGCCGACCCCTGTGATGATCGAGTCGGCAGGCGATGCAGACTACTTCAAGCTGGAGCTCGCGGAGCCGATGAATCTGTACATCTACGCCGGGACCATTGCGTACAAGGATGCAAGTGACGAATGGCTGCCCTGGTCCGACCTAGCTGAGCAAGTACTCGACAGCACGGGGGCCAGAATCACGGTAAGTGTAGATAGCAACGATCTTGGATTCTCGATCGAGCACCTCTTCGGACCGGGCATTTACTACGTCAGGGTGACGACCGCCGCCGACGCCCCATCGCATCCCGTGCCCTACACCATCCACATGTACGAGGATGCCGACTACCCCTACTTCATAGAGGACCGCGAAACCGATACCCGGGCCCTGTACCCGTCCCAGGCGGTCGACCCGCTGTATGGGTGCCAGTGGTACTTGAGCAACCATGAAGGGGAGGATATCGACGTGGAGGCTGTATGGGCGGATGGCCTCATGGGAAGGGGCGTCAACATCGCGGTGGTCGATGACGGGATGGACCACGGGCACGAAGACCTGAGAGACAACGTCGACCGGGCTCGCAGCCACGACTATACCGGCGCGAGCGATATCCACCATCCATATGAGCACCACGGTACAAGGGTCACGGGCATCATCGCGGCCCAGGACAACGGCGTAGGCGTGCGAGGAGTTGCCCCAAGGGCGACCGTCTACGGTTACAACTACTTGGCGAACACGACAAATGTAAATGTAGCGGATGCTATGGCTCGAAACCGGGATGTGACCGCGGTCTCCAACAACAGCTGGGGACATATCGATGGGCCTAGACTTAGCTCCACCGCAGCGCGAATCTGGGAGCTTGCGGTGGACGCCGGCACCAGGGAAGGCCATGGGGGGAAGGGGGTCTTCTACGCTATTGCGGGCGGAAATGGCTTTTACAGCGGCGACGAATCCAACTTCGACGAGTACAACAGCTACCATGGGGTGACCTCCGTTTGCGCGGTGGGCGATGACGACACCAGGAGCGGCTACTCGGAGGCGGGGGCCAACCTGTGGGTGTGCGGTCCGTCGAGCGGAGGCGAACGGCGAATCGTAACCACCGAGAACGCCGATCGCTACAACCCCAGCTTTGGAGGTACGTCCGCGGCAACACCGGTCGTTGCGGGCGTGGCGGCGCTCATGAGGGAGGCCAACCCGGACCTGACCTGGCGAGACCTGAAGCTCGTCCTCGCCGCCTCCGCACGGAAGAACGACCCCGCCAACCCGGGATGGGAGCTTGGCGCGGCCAGGTACGGGGCCGAGTCCGACTCGGACCGCTACCACTTCAACCACGAGTACGGGTTCGGCATGGTGGACGCCAGGGCCGCCGTCGACCTCGCAAAGGACTGGGAGGGCCTACCGACTCTCGAGAGCCACACGACGGAGTCGGGCGAGCTCACCCTGCCGGTCCCAGATGCGCCCGCTGGCGGTGGATCCAGCATGGTCGAGAGCTCACTCATTGTGAACACGAGCGTCGGCTTCGTCGAGTTCGTGGAGATCAACGTCTCGTTCCAGCACGACTCGATCCGGGACCTGGAGATCGAGCTCGTGTCCCCATCGGGCACGGTGTCCCGGCTGGCGGGCCACCTCGATACCTATAGCGAGTTTCCATACTATGGCTTCGTGCCGCTGCGCTCGCCATTCCGCTTCGGCTCGGCCAGGCACCTGGGCGAAGACCCGAACGGGGTGTGGAAGCTACAGGCCACCGACCATATTGCAAACGTGGAAGGCAATCTCGTCTCGTGGGGTGTGACCTTCTATGGACATGAGAGTATCCCCGGCACGCCGACCGTGGACTGGGTGGCAGGCGAGTCCGGCTCGCTGACTGTGGGATGGGCGGCTCCACGACAGACCGGCGGCTCGCCTGTCACCGGATACGACCTGCGGCACAGGTTGGCCTCCAGCGACGGGGCTGCGGACACCGAATGGACCGTCGTGGATGATGTATGGACTGCCGGAACCGGCGGGAGTCTCGACTACACCATCGCTGGGCTCGATGTAGACGCCCAGCACGAAGTCCAAGTACGTGCGGTCAATAGAGCCGGCGCCGGTCGCTGGTCCAGCGGGTTCACCGCGGCGGCTGCGCCGAGCCCCTGCGCAACCGCGGGCGCGATTGTCGATCCATCCGGCAACCCGGGGTTGGTGTCGGACTGCCGGACGCTCATGGAAGTCCGACAGACCCTCGATCAAGGAGGGACGCTCGACTGGGATGCGGGAACCCCCATTTCAGCCTGGGACGGGGTCGTGGTGGAAGGGACGCCGATGCGTGTCGTGGGGTTGTCTCTCCAGGACAAGGGCCTGACGGGGCAGATACCCGCGCAGCTGGGCAACCTGCCACGCCTGAAGAACCTGGACCTCTCACAGAATGAGTTGACAGGAGGAATACCGTCCTGGCTGGCAAGGCTCGGCGACTTGGCGAAGCTCGACCTCTCGCACAACGGCCTGACCGGGGAGATACCGCCGGCCCTGGGCAACCTTGCCGTTCTGCCTGAGCTGGACCTTTCGCAGAATCGACTGTCAGGAGAAATACCGGCGGAGCTGAGGGGACTGTCCCGCCTCGCCCGGTTGTCGCTGGACGGAAATGAGCTGGGTGGCGAGATACCGGCATGGCTCCCGAATCTGCCCAGCCTGAGCTCGCTGTTCCTCGCCGAGAACTCGTTCACGGGCTGCATTCCGGAGGGTCTGCGGGGCATTGCCCCCTACGACCTCGACAAGGTCGGCCTCCTCTTCTGCGGCCGAGGCGTGCTGGCCGTCCTCTACAACGCCACGGGCGGGGCGAACTGGAACACCAGCACAAACTGGCTCAGCGGCCAGCCGATCAGACAGTGGTCCGGCGTCACCGTGGACTACCACGGGCGTGTCACACATCTGGATCTCGACTCCAACAACCTGGCCGGCGAGATACCCAGCGAATTGGGGGACCTCCCAAGGCTGCAAACCCTGTACCTCAGCTACAACCAGTTGACAGGGTCGATACCGACGAGGCTGGGGAACCTTTCGAAGCTGCGGTCCCTAGACCTCCGGGGGAACCAGCTTACTGATTCCATACCGGCTGAAACAGGGAATCTGTCCGGGCTGCGATTCCTGAACCTCAGCTCCAACCAATTGACAGGGGGGTTACCGCGGCGAACTGGGAACCTCTCTCAAACTGATTCCTCATTGTCTGTGGAACAAGTGACGGGAGGATGCCAGCCACGCGACTCCTTCTCGAGACTGAATCACTCTACTCAGTTTCGACACTGCGGGGCGGTATTCCCACGGCGCTGGGGGACCTCTCAAGGCTTGAATCTCTCCGCCTGTCCTCAAACCAACTGACGGGCGGTATTCCCAAGTCGCTGGCAAACCTCTCAAGACTGGAGTCTCTCAACCTCGGTTCCAACCAACTCATGGGCGGGGTTCCTCCGGAGTTGGCGAACCTCTCAAGGCTGGAATCTCTCCGCCTGCACTCCAACCAACTCACGGGCATTATCCCTCCGTCGTTGGGTAATCTCTCGAAGCTGGAGTATCTCAGCCTGTATTCCAATCAACTGACGGGCGCAATCCCCAAGGCATTCGGGAGCCTCGCCAAGCTGGAGTCCCTTTACCTCAACTCAAATCAACTGACAGGGGGAATTCCCACTGAACTGGGCAGCCTATCCAGACTGGAAGTTCTCAGCCTGTACTCAAACCATCTGACGGGCGAGATTCCCTTGGTGCTGGCGAGCCTTGCCAAGCTGGAAACTCTCAGTCTCAGCTCCAACCAACTGACGGGCGAGATCCCAACTGGGTTGGGGAGCCTCGTCAAGCTGGAAACCCTCTACCTCAATTCCAACCAACTGACGGGCGAGATTCCAACTGAGTTGGGGAACCTCGCCAAGCTGCAGAATCTGAGGCTTGGCTCCAACGAACTGACTGGTCAGATACCTTCGGAGCTGGGAGATCTTTCTGAGCTTCAGTCCTTAGACCTCAGATCGAACAGCCTGACGGGTCGTATACCGGCGGAGCTCGGGAACCTGGCCGAGCTGGCAACCCTATACCTCGACGGGAACGGGTTGACGGGATGCATCCCGGCGGAGTTGCGGAGCGTTCCTACCAACGACCTCGACCGGCTGAGGCTGCCCTTCTGCTCGGCGTCTGCGCCGGGAGCGCCAGCCATAGGCGCCATCACATTCGGCCTGGGCTCACTTGCCGTATCGTGGGACCCTCCGTCGAGGGACGGCGGATCGGCAAATCATCGCCTATGACCTCCGCCATAGGGAGACCGCCGCCAACGAGGAGGTCCGCTCGAGATGGACCGTGGTGGAGGACGCATGGACCGTGGGCGGCGGGGCCCTGCAGTTCAGCATAGCCGGACTCATGAAGGGCGCCGTGTATGACATCCAGGTGCGGGCCGTGAACGCCATTGGAGACGGCCCTTGGTCGGCGACCGCAACGGCTGGGACGCCAACGACGCCGACCATAGGCGCAGTCACTCCTGGGCCGGCCCTGCTCACCATTTCCTGGGACCGTCCGTCGAGCGACGGCGGATCGGTCATCATCGCCTATGACCTGCGTCACATCGAGACGGACGCGGACGAGGCGCTAGGCTCGAGCTGGACCGTGGTGGAGAACGCGTGGACAGCAGGTGGCGGCGCCCTGCGGCACACCCTCGCAGGGCTCACTGGAGACACCGATTATGCCATCCAGGTGCGGGCCGTGAACGCCGTGGGAGGCGGCCCGTGGTCGGCGACGGCAACCGGAACTCCGGAGGGGGCGAGCATCTGTGTCAAAAGGCGGCGCGGTTGCCGTCGCGACGAACGAGGGGTTGATTTCGGACTGCGAGGCGCTCCTGGTCGCTCGTGACACCTTGGCGGGTACCGCGGCGCTGAACTGGTCGGCCAACACCCCGATTTCAGAGTGGGACGGTATTCGCCGGTACCAAGCGCTCGACGGCACCCCTCTGCGGGTGACAGGGCTCTACCTCGATCGCAGAGACCTGAACGGGACGATTCCGGCTGAACTGGGCGGGCTGACTGAGATCAAGTGGCTGTACCTCCAAAGCAATGACCTGACCGGCGAGATACCGTCGGAACTGGGGAACCTCTCCAAACTGCGGTATCTGCTGCTAAACGGGAATGCGTTGACAGGACGGATACCGACGCCGTTGGGGGATCTCTCCAAGCTGGAAGCCCTCGGACTCAGCTCCAACCAGTTGACGGGGACAATTCCTAGGGAGCTGGGGAACCTCTCCGAGCTGGAGTCTCTGTACCTCAGCTTCAACCAACTCACGGGCGAGATTCCGCCGGCGTTGGGGCACCTCTCCAAATTGGAGTATCTATCGCTTTACGTAAACCAGTTGACTGGACAGATACCACCGGAGTTGGGAGACCTCTCCAAGCTGCAGAGTTTGAACCTCAGCTTCAACCAGCTGACCGGCCAGATACCGGCGGAGTTGGCGAACCTCTCCAATCTGGAGAGCCTGTCCCTCAGGAGGAACCGGTTAACCGGATGCATCCCGGCGGGACTGCGGAACGTACCCACCAACGACCTCGACCAGCTGAGGCTACCCTTCTGTTTTGTGTCTGCGCCGGGAGCCCCAATCATAGGGGCCGTCACACCCGGACCCGCCTCACTGTCCATTTCGTGGGACCGTCCATCGAGCGATGGCGGATCGGTCATCACGGCCTACGACCTTCGCCATGTCGAGACCGCTGCCGACGAGGCGATCGACTCCAATTGGACCTTGGTGGAGGACGTGTGGACGACGGGCACCGGGGGCCCGCAATACACCCTCAGCGGGCTCATCGGAGACACCGGGTACGACATCCAGGTGCGAGCGGTGAACGCCGGAGGAGATGGCCCGTGGTCGGCGACTGCAACCGGAACGCCATCAACGCCGAGTGTCTGCGCTACAGGCGGCGCTATTGCCGATGCGGCGAACACGGGGCTGGCCTCCGACTGCGAGGCGCTGCTCGCCGCACGGGACGCTCTCGCGGTGAGCGCGACGCTGAACTGGGCAGAGGATACGGACATAGCACGGTGGGACGGTGTCAGGGTCAGCGGGACGCCGCGTCGGGTGACCCGGCTCTCACTCCCCGGGAAGGGGCTGGGCGGGACGGTCCCGGCCGAGCTGGGCAGGCTATCCATGCTCAGCGACCTGAACCTCCGCACCAATGGGCTGAGCGGGCCGATACCGGCCGAGTTTGGGAACCTCACGGACCTGGTGAGGCTGAACCTGCACACCAACCAGCTGACCGGACCGGTACCTGATCTGAGCGGCATGGCCAATCTGGAAGAGCTGTACCTTGCGAGGAACAAGCTGACGGGCCCAATCCCGGCTTGGCTGGACGGCATGACGGAGATGAGAGAGCTTTGGCTCTGGGGCAACGAGCTGAGCGGCACATTCCCGACCTGAGCGGCATGACCAGCCTGGAGAAGCTGAAACTGGCCGGCAACAACCTGGAGGGCGGTGTGCCCGACGCCTCGGCTTTGCCGGCGAACCTGCGGTGGTTGATACTGCAGGAGAACCCGTTGGGCGGCACGATCCCCGACCTGAGCGGCTTGAGCAGCATGACGGTCTTGTGGCTGCACACGAACGGCCTGGCGGGTGAGATCCCCGGCCTCGCACCTGCCTCCGAGCCTGACCAGCCTGAACCTGCACAGCAACCAGCTGAGCGGTGTGATTCCGGACCTGAGCGGCCTGGACAAGCTGCAATGGCTGAGACTTCAGGGCAACCAGCTGAGCGGCACAATCCCGTCCACGCTGGGTGACATGGCCAGCCTGACGAGGTTGTGGCTGCACGAGAATGTGCTGAGCGGACCGATCCCCGCGTGGCTTGGCGGGCTTACCAAGCTGGAGCGGCTTTGGCTGAGCGACAATATGCTGACGGGCGAAATACCGGAGGAACTGGGTGATCTGAGCGACCACTCGCTCGCTCAGTGGCGGCTCGGCGGCAACGACCTCACCGGGTGCGTACCGCAGGGATTGGCGGACGTTGCCGACAACGATCTCGACAGTCTGGGGCTGGAGGTCTGCACGGACTCCTAGATCGGCCAGGGGAGGCCAGGCTGGTGAGCAAGGAGCCTGACACTCAGAATGTGCCAAGCTCGGCTCGCCCCCAGGCAGCCAGCTTCAACCTCAGCCCCAAGATTGGGAATTGCCCGCGACGGTGGTCGTCGCACTTCGCCGTTCCGGGGCGGGTGCTCGTTACTCGTACCAGCCGGATGCGAAGATCACGCCGTCGTGGCGCACGGCCCAGGCGTGAGATGCGAACGCGGCGGGCGTGGGGCGTGCACGAGGACCGCAGTCTTGCTTCACGGCCTCGCGAAGTAGCTGCGTTCCGCATAGTAGGACGGTCCCGCCAGCTTCACGCCACCTACCCATACCACGTGGTGCGTGGTCTCGATCTCGCCCGACGGAGTCGTGTAACGCTCCGCGAACAGTGCGATCCGAGCGTCGTCGGGAGACGGGAGCGGGCCGCCGCTCCAGGCCCATATGCCAGCACTGGAACTCCAGCCAATGGTAGATGCTGGGATAGTAGCGATTGGTCACGATCTCGGAAGCAATGCGGATACTGACCCCGTTCCGCTCCATGGCAACCCGCGCCTGGTCCAGGGTGCGTATCATCTGGTTGCGCCGTAGACCCGGACCGAACACTTCAGCCGCCTCCTGGTGATGAAGGTCTCCGATCATCTCGCAGAATAGAATGCCGTCTCTTCAGCACTCTCAATGCGGCCTGGATGCCATAGCCATGTAGCCGATGGGCCCGCGCTCCGAGAACACAAAGTCGAACGACTCCGGCTCCAGCTCCCCGCTACCTTCCAGGAAGTCGAGCTGGCGGAATTCGACGCTGTCGCAGTCCCCTTGCCTCAAGGCCTCCTGGGCCAGGCGGATGTGAGAGGGATCGCTGTCGATCCCCAGGCCCGACGCGAACCGGTGGCTGTTCTCCAGGAGACTCGCGCCGTTGCCGCAACCGATGTCGAGCACCCGCATGCCCGGCCCAAGCTGCGAGGCAATGAAATCAGACGCCTGGGTGCGAGTCGACGTCTATGCGGGTCCCGACCGGCCGTGGGGAGTAGTAGGAGTGGTCCGCCTCCAGAATTGCCCTGACGCGATCTTGATCCAGTTCCATGTGGTTGCCCTGAGTCATGGTGAGCTCGTCGGAGCGCGTTTGCTGGTTTGTTATCGGACCAGGGCCGACACTGGCACAGCATGATGCCGCTTGAGTGTGCGGCTTGGATCCGGGCCCGGTGCCGAGGGATCCCAATACAGGCTCGAAACCAGTCTTGGCAGGACCCGATTGAGTTGCAGTCCGATTTATGACTGTTGGTAATACTTTTTTGTTTTTTGTTTTTTGTACTTTGTTGTTTCTTGGCAATTTTCCCTGGTATACTAATTTTTTCCACGTTTTAAGACTCATAGACTTTTTCTATATAAGACATGCGTTGTAGACTTTCGCTAGACCCGTCTGAGTGCGCGATGGTCGGCCTCTCACCTGTTTTACTGAGCGCTGCTCGGCGCCCGCCACACGCCCAGCGCGCATCTTAGGCCACGACGACATGATCGGCAGCTTTTTGTGTTCCGTTACGGACCAGCGCAGGCACGGACGCCAACGCTACCAGGGCGGCGCGCGTCCATTTTGGCACGGCGATGCGTTGCCCCGACCAGGAGCAGCCCGCGGCGCCACCTCCCCACGCCATGGCCGACCGCGAGACGAGACACACGACCAAGGAGCCGACAGCCCAGCAATCGAGGCGAGGAGCCTATGGCGTTCGGACCGCGGTCGACAGATCGACGGCGGGGAAGTCACAGCACCGGCAGGAGGGTCATCACCGGGTGGACGAGCATCATCGTCGCGACGACCGTACCTATTATCACGAGCAGCAGCGTGTCCTGCCGCATGTACGCCAGCCCCGACCGGATGTCATCGACCACGTTGGCGCGACGATCGCCTGCCGCCTGGTCCTGCTTCGGGATGAACCCTATGAGAATCACCGAGACGAGCACCACTCCGGCGCTGAGGTAGCTGACGCCGGCCGGTCCCAGGTACGCGTAGAGCAGCCCGCCCACCGCGGGCAGTGCCGAGAGGACACACGTGCTCAGCAAACAACGGCCCCAGTCAGGGCGAGTGCGATTCGCACGACATGCGACCCGACCAGGCTTAGATCAGTCCTGTCGTGCGGGAGACATGAAGGCCCAGACGCCGCCGTGGACCATCCCGCTAGCCAGCAGGTGGTACCAGGTCACCGTGTTCGTCGTGATGGACACGGCCACGAACAGCGTCGCGACCAATGTGGCCCCCTGGCACGCCTGCAGGAGCCTGCGGCGGTTCACCCTGTCGGCCACCGCACCGCCGAACAGGGCCAGTGCGAGGAGCGGGACGACCTGGGCCGCGGTGATGATCGCCAGCACGGCGGCGGACTCTGTCAGCTCGTAGGCCAGGAAGCTCCTGACAACGGTCTGCATGTGCCCGCCGGCTACCCAGAAGATGACCGCCAGCCACAGCAGCCTGTACGAGGGATTGCCCAGGGAGCTGAAGGTGTGGCCCAGGCCGCGGCGGCGCTGCAGGGAGCCCGGGCGCCTGCTACGGGGCGGCGGGCCCGGCGCGCCGCGGGGAGCGTCGCCGCCGTTGCTGCCAGCCTCGGAGCTCATGGCGGCCAGTGTAAGCCCTGCAACTCGGCCCCAGCAAGCCGACCTGCTACCCCGATTACCCCAACCTCTTGGGCCGGACGGCGCCAGGAATTGTTTGAAGCGTTCCTGATTGCGCTCCCTGCCGGGGATGGATTCCAGCGTTCGGAGACCTTTGCGTAACTCGCATAGTGGAAACAACATAGGGGATCCGAATCCACGCAATCCAAGCTGGCCCACCGCTCCCTGGACTCCGATTTTCGCCGGAATAACGGCTGTGCAAGGGTCTCTGTTCGCGGGGATGACGGAGGTTGGAGGGTTTCCGGTGCTATAATCCGGGCCTGTGTGGGAGGGGGTTCAGGTCGTGGAAGCTCACTGGATCAGGCGCGGGGCGCTTTTCCTGGCAGCCGTTCTAGTAACCGCGGCGGCGGGCGCGCTGGTCGGCTGCGCCGCGCTGCGCGATCGCGAAGCCGCGCCCGCCGAGGCCCAAGCGCCACCTCCTGCCGTTGGCGCGGTGTCCGACCGCTCGCTGGAGCGGATACGGCTCCAGCCCATCGTCCGCCGCATCCTAGTTGGGACCACGGCAGACAGCCGGGCCAGGGAGTGCTCGGACCCCTGCACGCTGCGCGAGGCCATCCGCTCCGCCGAGCCGGGGTCCGTCGTGGAGGTGCCCGCGGGTGTGTAACGTTTCCTGGAGTCCGTGCCGTGCTGGTGCGACAGGGGCCTGGGACCATCATCGCGCGCCCTGACGCGACCCTCGTACGCGCCGCGCCGCGAACCCCGGACGAGTCGGTTAGCGTATTCATGGTGCCGGGGCACCGGGTCAAGATCTCGGGCATGACCATCGAGGGCGGCAGAGCCACCTGGGGCGGCGGCATATACAACCAGGGCGACCTGACCCTGGTGGACTTGGTGGTGAGGGGCAACGAGGCGGAGATCCACGGCGGCGGCATTTCAACCTGATGGGGGGGGGGGGGGGGGGGGGGGGTGGTGGTGGGGGATGGGGGGGGTGGGGTTTTGTTTTAGCTTTTTTTTTTTTTGTTTTTTTTTTTTGTTTTTTTGTTTTTTTTCTTTTTTTGTGCCTGGTTTTTTGTTTTTGTCCTTTCTTTTTCTCGTTTTATTTTTTTTTTCCCCCCCACTCTCGTTCTTATCTCTCCGCCTGGTGACCGGGAACATCGCGCGGCACGGCGGCGGCATTTTCAACGACGCGACCATCACAGTCACGGAGAGCACAGTCGTGGGCAACTCGGCCATCCGAGGAAAGGGCGGCGGCCTGCACAACAGCCAGGGCGGCGTGGTGGCCCTCTCGAGCACCTCGATCAGCGGCAACTCGTCGAGGTTCGGCGGCGGCGGCATATACACCCGAAGCGAGCTCACGCTGGTCAACGCGGTCGTGATGGACAACCAGGCCGGTTCCGACGGCGGCGGCATCTTTCAACTGGGGGGCGCGGCTCAGGATCACCAACAGCACCGTCGCCCACAAGCGCGCGCCGTCGGAGGGCGGCGGGTACACAACATCGCCAGCGGGATGATGACTCTCGGCAACTCGATTATCGCCTCGAACGAGTCCAAGGTGGGGCCGGACTGCTTCACGTCTGGAGACGACCGCTGTGTCCATGGGCCACAACCTGGTCGGCAACGGCGTGGCATGCGACGTACGCTCGCACCCGGGCGACATGATGGCAACGCCGGACAGGCCCATCGACCCGAACATCAGGATCATCCACGACGGCTCCGGACGCGCGACGCAGTGACGTCTGCTCGACGCAAGCCCCGCCGATAGACGCCGT